GTTAACTGTAATCTGTAACTGAATAAAGGGCAGGTAGAGCTGTTTAATGTCACACTGTGGAACATTCCAGGCAGATAATAACCACATGGTCTTTTGTTTCTCGGAGGAAAAACAATGAGGAGTGAGACTGGAGCCAAATACCTGGAGGAGAAATCTTTAAATCGGATTATATTTGGGACTGGACTTTGCCAAACACCGAGTCCCACCAGAGGAACAAAAACTTTTATCCAGGTCAAGCAAAAAACAGAATAAACTCCACCTGGGTTTTCTGTCCAGAAGATGCATTCTACAGTTTAGGAGTCAAACTAAATCCGTTTATCGTCGTTCATTCGCTTTTCAAAATAAAACTAAAAATAAGAACATTTAAAAACAAAACTATTTTCTTAATTTTTTTGTCTCCAAAACCAAAATGAAAAAATGGATAAAGATTCGTTGTCCAAATGAAGTGCTCTCCAAACTTTTGTGACCCGTGAGCTCCTTTACAAAATGAAAATGCATGAGACCTACTCACTTTAGCGATGCAAGAAATGTAGTCGATATAAGAGGTACGATTACATGCCGATGAAACATAAAACCATTATCCATTTATTAGTGCACAAAGTTCAAAATAACACATTTATGTCAATTATTCAGCACAATATTTATAATTCAGAAATAATGTTTGTGGCTCGTGGCCCTGGTTCACTGGTCTTTCTCTTTCTTCTCCTTCTTTCTGGTAATAACGCCGCTACATCACTGGATACTCGTCCCTGATTGGTTGACGCCAAAAGTTCAGCTTTTCAACCTCTGACACTGACGCCCTGAACGCTCAAGACGCGCCGCATCAACGCCAAATTCCTGCCGCGCTGACGCCTGATTAGGTCTGTAACGATAATCAAAAAATAAATTTTGTGAAATTAGATTTTTTTTGTGAGGTTGCTCACATTTCCATTTAAATGTGTCTTGTGTGTGATCTCCAGTGTGAACTTTAAACGCCCCTAAAGTGTCCCGCCTGAGCATTGAAGGAAGTCGCCTAAACTCTGGGCTCGTCTCCCGAAATCCGGTCCAGTTGTTGGTAAAATGTTCAGGTTACACGTCCAAGGCTGCTTCATTTGTTTGAATCTTTATCCTTCTTGTGTTTTGACTCGCGGGATCTTTATTTTTCGTCGACACTGGAGCCAGGACCGACTGTAGCTGCGCTCGGACATTCCTTTGACAATCATTTCAAAAAACGCCTGGTTCCGATAAGACTCCTCGAGTTTGTCCTGAACACATCGATCCCCACAAATATGAATAAACTCTCTTACGTCGCTTTCCCTCCATTGTCGAGACTCTGAGCCTGACGTATAGTTAGGCCCGTAACGATAATCAATAAATCAGTTAATTGTAAGATAACTTTTAACGAGCTCCATAACTTTTCCGGCCGCGATAAATTCTATTTGCATGTTTGTTTATTTTCCTCTCTCTCTCGCTCTCAAAGAGACTGAATGTTAGAAGCTTCCATCGCTCTGACTCGTCTCGTTTAACAATCGTAATGACGCTTGAACCAACGTGCGCAGTGTTTATCGACACAGTGGATGCGCGCGCAGCCTGAGTGCAGAAAACGCCGCTGTCTGTGCGGTTTAACATGAAGCCGCGACACAAGCGCCACTGTCAGAAACCAAAACAGTTCATCACCGTGCGCCAAAACAAGTCACGATGCCAAATCGACACGAGTGAGTTGGACACGTCTCAACAGAGACATGCGTCAAATAGAGTGAGCGCAAACGACGAGAAGAAATGTCTCAAACCCCAACAGCCGATATAAAACCAAACCCGAGCAACAGAACAAGCCCCGCCCCCGGGAAAGACCGAAATCCACTGAAATCCCACAAGACACAGACACGACACCAGACAGAACAGAGGCTCCCTCATAGAGAAACAGAATCCTGTGTCACGGGTCAGATCTACGCCTGATGACTCGCTGCAAAAATGCATTTTAAAAATAAACCCTCGGCCTTTTCAACAGGTCTCTAACTATAATAAAAAATGTTTTTACTTTTCAGTCCTGTTCAAAAAAGTAGTGGAGTAGAAAGTAAAAAGTATAGACTGTAAAATGTACTCAAGTAAAGTAATAAGTGTAGCATTCGTTCATTCGTTTTTCAATATAAAACCAAAAATAAGAAAACGAAAAAACAACAGTTTTCTTCATTATTTGTCTCCAAAACCAAAATGAAAAAACAGATAACGATTCGATTTTTCAGTTTTCGATTTTATGTTTAAATGAAGAATGGAAAAATGGACTCCCGTGACTGCGATGCTGGACGTTTGCACGGACTGAACCAGGACTGATCCAGATCCGAGACCAGACCAGGACCAGAGCGGGACTGAGACCAGGACCAGAGACCAGAGCGGGACCAGAGCGGGACCAGAGCGGGACCAGAGCGGGACCAGAGCGGGACCAGAGGGACCAGGGACCAGACCGGGACCAGACCAGACGGACCAGAGCGGGACCAGAGGGACCAGAGCGGGACCGGGACCAGAGCGGGACTGAGACCGGGACCAGAGCGGAGCTGAGACCGAGACCAGTGGTCCGAGTGGTTCCGTGTCATCGTCTGCGCGCTGGTTCCGTGTGGGGAAAGTGAGAATGTTCTGTGGACTACAGGTCTGGACGGGCTGCTCCAGTCCTCCACACTCAAGAACCACGACTGGTTCCGAGGTGGAGCAAAGCATCCGACTGACACTTTCACACCAACGAAAACAAACCGAACTAAGAGCTTTTGGTTCAAATGGACCAGGTCCAGGACCAGACCGGGACCAGAGCGCTACTGAGACTGGGACCAGACCGGGACCAGAGTAGGCCTGAGACAGAGACAAGACCAGGACAGACCAGACCAGACCAAGACCAGAGGCTCAGAGCCCACAGCAGGGCTGGAGCTCGAAGCTGAGGCTCGGACCCCGCGGAGGCTCAGAGTCAAAGCTCGGAGTCCACTCTGGTCCCGGTCTGGTCCCGGTCTGGTCTCGGACCTGGATCAGTCCTGGTTCAGTCTGTACACGGTGCAAAAGTCCGGCATCGCAGTCACGGAAG